CAGAGCTGCCACCAGCCCCATCCTGGTCCCACCCTCAGCAAACAGGCACTGAGACTCTCCCAAGTTAAACTCTCCATTTATTGGATCCTCTTACAAAAAAACTCAACATTGTGCTCGTGTTGAAGGAGTGATTCTCGTCTCTCAGTTCCTGTTGGATTTTCAATCCCGGTGCTCTCGGAGCCGTCGGCACAGGGAGGGCAGGGGGGGCTGTGTCACCGCGGACGATGCTATTTACAGCGATCGGGAAGGGACCTCGCTCCGCCCCGGGGGAAGCAGCAGGAACTCTGGAAAGGGCGGAAGGGCTTTCCCCTGGGAAAGGTGCAGCGTGGAGAGCCCTTCCCGTGCCCTCGGGGCTGGGGTGGTGGAAGCCGCGTGCCCTGGGAGCCGGGATGAATTGTACAACCTAACCTGAGCTTCGGAGTGACCCTGGGACCCCTGGACATCCCAGGAGAGCGATGGGAGGGAGCAAGGGAGGGCATGGGATGGTGCATGGGCTGCACTGCTCTCCAGGAAAGCCTCTCTCCTCTGTGCTGGGGGAGGAAAGCCTCAGGACAGCTGAGAGCCCGGGATGTGTCAGGAGCAGACAGCTGGACTGGGAATCACAGCTCTTACTCCGGGAGGTTTTGGTGGCTGTTTGGGAAAGAGCCACAGCAGCAGGACCGGGAGGGACAGCACTAGCCCTGCAGGAGGAAGGAGATGCTTTTGCTGGTAGTGTTTTCTCACAGCATTCCATGCTGCCTGGCATATCCCCCTGGAGCAGCCTCTTGACCCATTCACCTTCAAATCCTTCCCCTCTCGGGGGCTGAGCAAGGAGGAATCCACCCCACGACACCCATTGCACAGCCTCTCCCTGCTCAACCGCAGTGCACCAGGGATCTTCCCAACGAAAGAGGCCAAGGATCCTGGGAGGAAGAAGAGCTGGATGTGCACGACTGATCCCCTGAGCTCACCTGGCCCAAGCCCCCATGACACACTCAGCAGCACAAACACTTCCCACCCCGTCCGCGTTCCCCACGCTGCGGCACAGGATCTCACCGAGTAACATCTGTTCCCTTCAGATTTTGGAAAATCGGGTGCTGAGCAGTGTCCTTGTTTGGATAAAGAGCAATCCATGTCCAAATCATTCCATGCTCCCACCTGACCAGGAAGGCTGAAAGCAGCACTGCCTCCCCCCTGGGCTGGCACTGGAGCCCTGAGCGAGGCACCACTAACGAAGGCAGAACTGAAGCCGCAGTGAGGCCCCTCAGGGACACTGAGGCTGGAGCTGCTGCCAAGTGCCACATTCCCACTCTGAGCAGGGGCAGAGCATCTTTCCAAGCATTTCAGGGCCTCACAGGAGCCTCAGATGGCATTCTTAAGGACTCCGTGAGCCTTCACATGCTCCGTTTTGAGCATCTGATGATTAAACAAAAAAAGTAGAAAAAAAACAAACCAGAAAGGAAAAGATTCCTTGATCCATGTTTCACTGTGGTCAGTAGTGCTGGTGAAGGCACAATCCATTGGTTCTGCTGGGAACAGGCTACTCCCCCCCTTTCCCTTCCCAAGAAGGAAGTGTTGGTGACCCTAGCACATGAGACTGACATGGAAAACTGGCTGAAAGTTGTCTGGAGAGGCCACATAAGCCCCCAAAATGTGGTGCAGGTGGCAGGAGAGGAGTGGACAGGGCTGACCTTAGCCCAGGAGCTGCTGATTTTCCTGCTCCCATCCCGGGCCAGGAAAACTGGGGACATTGAGGTGAATCACACGTGTCACCTTCCAGCCTAGCCAGCAAGAGCTTCTCCAGGCTGCTCTAAACATCTGGGATGTGCTGAGGGAGAACATCACACGAGGGGCAAGTTGTGTCCTTCCCTTCTGTTCCAGGCTGGGACTGAAGCAGGACAGAGCAGCAGCCGAGCAGGAGGTTGGGTGATCGTGTGTAGCAGCATTTTGCTCTGGTGGGAGAGAAAGCAGCTCCAAAAACATTCCATGAAGGTGATCCCAGTGCTGTTCATGCAATGGAAAGCTCCCGGTGGGATTAACCCCCGGACGCAGCCCAGATCCAGGAGTGAGGATGGGATGGGGGTTTAAGGCAGTTATGCTGAGGCCCACGGGCAAACCCAGTGTGGACACATTTCACTCTGGGATGAGGAAGAGCAGGAACCGCAGCCACGGTGCAGCCTCAGCTCCGGCACACACAGCCTGGACTGGAGCTTGGCTTTGGCCCTGCTGGGCTGAGCAGAGAAGGGTCAGTGTGTCCACGAGCCTGTGGCACTGCTGTGCTGCACATGGATCACTCCTACAGCCCAAACACACTCCCTGTCTTCAGAGGTTTAGCAGCACAGGGTGGAAAAGGATACCGAGAAAGAGACTGCAGCAACAGAACTCCCCTGGAGCTGCGGCATGGGAATGGTGCTGGAGATGGGAAGGACCCTCCAGGCCAACCTCGCCCTTCTCCGAGGGTGGTGAGCAGAGCAGAGCTAAGGGCTCATCACCAGCCAACACCTGAGAGTCCTCAGGAGTCGCCACAGGGCAAGAGGAGCCTGGACATGGTGTGTGTGAGGGGACGGGAAGGGCTGTCCATGGGAGAAAGGCTGAGGACAACAGTGGTGCCAGAGCTGCCTTGATGCTGCACTCCAACACCTCCAACCTAGCCTTGCTATGGTCCCCTCAGTGAGCCAACAGGGCCTGAGGGGGAAAGGGGATGGGGGGGGGAAAGAAAACAAAAAAGCGCCTCAGGTGGCAAATCTAAAACACTTTCATTTTAAATAACAATAATTATAATTAAAAAGAATGGCTGCCCTTGGCTAGGCAGAGCCACTAGCCAACATGCCATTCCTCAGTGTACGATCCTAGGGAGTGCTGCAGGGACGCCGTGAGGTCCTGTCCCCCGGCGCTCGGTCGAGTCACTGTGGGAAGGGTGGGAGAGGAGAGGGAAATGTGCCCATCCCCAATCCGGGCCGTCCTGTTTGCTCGGCGGGAGGAAGTCCAGAGCAAACAGCCCCAACAAACCACCCCCCTGCACCCTCCCCTGGCTCTGGCTGGAGTTCAGGGCAGGAGCACCCGGATGCTCCCAGTTCTAGATGAACTTGAAGCATTTTGTCTTGTCGTGGGGCAGGCGTGTCTTGAAGAGGACCGAGTCGACGCGGAACTGCGTGTAGAGCAGGGGCATGTAGCCATACACCTTGACGAAGAAGTTGATGCACTTGTGTCGCTCGTGGAAGTGCGAGTCGTCGTGCGAGAGAGCCTGGGGACAGCCCGGACAGCGGAACGTCCAGCGGGAGGTCACCTGTGAGGGCAGGGACAGAGGGGGTCACACACTGCCCCAGCAGGGGATGTCCTCTCTGTGCCCAGGGACTTGGATACAGACAGGATCCCAGAATGGTTTGGGTTGGAAGGGACCTTAAAGCTTGTCCAGTTCCAGGGCCACCTCCCACCAGACCAGGTTGCTCCAAGCCCTGTCCAACCTGGCCTGGAACACTCCCAGGTTTGGAGCAGCCACAGCTTTTCTGGGCAACCTGTGCCAGTGCCTCACCACCCTCACAGCCAAGAATTCCTTCCCAATATCCCATCTCTCCCTGCCCTCTGGCAGTGGGAAGCCATTCCCTGTGCCCTGTCACTCCATCTCAAGTCCCTCTGCAGCTCTCTTGGAGCCCCTTGAGGCACTGGAAGGGGCTCTAAGGTTTCCCCGGAGCCTTCTCCTCTCCAGGCTGAACACACCCAGCTCTCCCAGCATAGCAGAGCTGCTCCAGCCCTTGGAGCATCTCCATAGCCTCCTCTGGACTCGCTCCAGCAGCTCCACATCCTTCTAGTGTTGGTGCCCCAGAGCTGGAGGCAGCACAGCAGGTGAGTCTCACCTGAGTGGGGCAGAGGGGCAGAATCTCCCCCTCACCTGCTGCCCACAGATGCTACAGAAAAATTAGTAATTTGGGGCACCTCTTGTTTTGGGCACTCAAAGATCTTTGGAGGAGGCTCCAATTTTCAGAAGGTGCTGAGGGGCCACCCCTTGATTAAAGGTGATTAAGGGCCTCCTCGTCTGCCTTGAACCAGATATCCCATCACAGTGCCCCTTGGTTTTGGTCAGATTCTTCTCTCAGCTCTACAACCTCTACCTCACAGCAGCTCCTGCTGGGAACACCATACAGGAAAACCCACCTCCAAGGCAGCTGCTCATGATGGTGACATACTCATGGCTGAAAGAGCACTTTGCCAGCACTGGTAAAGAGCAGAATGATCTACATCCAAAATCTGTGGTCAAACCTGTGACATTCACTTGCCATCCCAGGGCAGGGGAATTTCAGCTTGGTTACACAGATGAGTCCAAATGCCTCTGGAAAGCCTCACAAAACCAGCGAGGAATCATTGCTACTTGTGCTGGAAAGAAGGAAATTTGTGGGTTTGGGATCAGCTGCTCAAAAGGGCCTTGGCCGAGCCAGGAACCCTCCAGCCTGAGCTGCAGCATAAGGCATAGAATCATGGAATGGTTTGGGTTGGAATGGACCTTAAAGATCATCCAGTTCCAACCCCTGCCATGGGCAGGGACACCTTCCATTAGACCAGGAATTTAGGCTGGTTTAGTCTTGTAATGTCAAACCCCAATCCATCCACTTGCTGTGACAGGGATTTGGTGGCTTCTAAGGGCTGAGCTTTCCACCTGGACTGATTTCCCTGGAGCAGAGCAGCCCCTAACACACCACTGCCTTTCAAACACAGAGACACAATCACTGCTTCTCCAGAAGTGCCAACCCAAGGACAACCAGGGGGTGCTTTACCTTGATGGGAGGTTTCCTTGTCAGGTGGGAGACCAAGAAGTTCATGGCGATGTCCTCACAGTTGATGTACTCATCCACCATGTCGCGGATGGCCTGCGGCATCACGTAGGAGTACAGGTAGGCGTAGTACTGGGAAGGGTGAAAAGCCACAAGGTGCTCAAGGTGGTCCCAGCAGTAAGTGCTCACTCACCACTTGTGCCACTCATGGCACCACAGGTGAGCACTGAGATATGGGACATATTTCATAATATGTTTAGGGTTTGGAATGGACCTTAGAGATCATCTAGTCCCAACTCCTGCCCTGGGCAGGGACATATCCCACCAGACCAGAGTCTTCCTGGCTTTGAACACTGCCAGGGTTGGGGCATCCACAGCCTCCCTGGGCTACCTGTGCCAGTGTCTGACCACCCCTGCTGGGGCATGTTTGACTCAAAACTCAAGGATGGCAGCAGAAAGACTGCCTGTAATGGAGCTAATCCTGCATCAAGATCTGCTGCAGCAACTGCAGCTGCAAGTCTACCCACAGACACCACCCTGTCACCTCAGAAACTGAGGAACGGGCTTTCAGCCCCCTCAGATCTTGCTGTCTTTGCTGCTGAGGAGTCAACCCGGCAGCAGTAGCAGGTGGCTAACCTTCCCAGGGTGCTAGGACAGCACAGGACCAGCTGTTGGCTGTGTTCTGATTGGGAGGAACTGAGGGAAAAGGAGCAGAGAGCTCCAAAATTTATTCCTTAAAAAATACAACCCCCCAAAGCTACAGCCTCGGGTTCCTCTGAGGAGGGAGGGGCAGCGCGGGGTGCTGTGGCCGTGAGGTCTCACCTTGTGGAAGAAGGCAGCACCAGTGAGTACCATGGAGAGCTCGCAGGAGTAGTTGGAGTTGTAGAGCCAGGACTGGTGGGGGATGTCCCAGGCGTGGTAGCGGCCAGGGAAGCCCACGATGCGATCTCTCGCCTCTCTCCACACGCTGCAAACACAGAGCCCTGGGCTGAGACAGCGACCCTGGGAGCGCGTCCCGGGCTGAGCACAGCTCCGGCTCGGAACCACCACGTGGCTCCCAACAAACAGAGGCTGCCGAGAGGCTCCAGGGGATGGAGATGTCTCTACAGAACTGCTCATCCAAAGAATGGCCAACAGACATTGCAGTTTGGGCTAAAGGATAAATATTGTCAACGTGTTTCTCTCCCAGAGACACATTCCAGTTGTTTATGCACGTGGAAAAGTGCTCCTAATCCATAAATTAGGGATTTTCTAACTCACAAGGGCAGTTCTATAGGTTTAAAAGAAAACTAAGTGCAGATACCAGTGTCTTCTGGCCTTTCCCAAATCCCTGAGACTTTCCATCTCCCAGATGTTCAGAGTCCTCTGCAAAGCTGAGATAACATCAATCTCCCGTTAGGAAAGCTTCAAGGCCAGGCTGGACAGGGCTTGGAGTAACCTGGGCTGGTGGAAGGTGTCCCTGCCCAGGGCAGCAAGGTGGAATGAGATGACCTTTAAAGTCCCTTCCAGCCTAAACCATTCTGGGATTCTGGGATTGTATGAAAGCTGCTGAGATGCTGAAGACCCTGATGTCTCCAGACAGAGGATCTGGAGTACCAAACTTCCAGCTCCCCATCCCAAACCAGCACCCAGCAACTTCCCAGGCTCTGGCCATACAGGAAAAACCTCTGGAGCCATAAGTGCATCTCTCACTCCAACACATGCTCACAGCTGAGCTGTAGGGAATTAAATCCCAAGGTTTGCACATGGGAGCGTGGGCTTGGCTTAATATTCTGCTCTCATCTGCTCATACTCCTCAAGAGAAATCCCACAGGGTAACTTAACCACTGGCAGGAATAATTACAAGAAGAGTCAGTGCCTAATGCCTAATCTGGGCAATAAGTCCAGCTCCCACTGGCAGAAGTGCTGGCTGCCTTTGGATCATCCCATCCCATCTCCCTAACATCCAAGCTGTGTCTCCAAACCCAATAACCACACTGCAAGAAACAACTCCCTGTTGGACACAGAAGGGTTTTCCCTTTTGCCCAGGTACAAACAGGGCAGAAAGTGGCCTCTTTGGTTTTTCCCTTGTGTGGATTCAAGTTCCACCCACAGGTCTTGTTCCTGGAGAGCTATAGGAGGAGCTACGAGGAGACTGAGATTCCCAGAGCCCTGAGCTTTCCTTAACTTAAGGACACAGCAGGAGCACAGATGTGTTTATTGTTCAATCCTCTACTCAGATTATCAAAACTCTGAGATAACCTACTAATGAATCCCAAGGAATGAACATCTCCAGCAGTTTCCCTGGCTCCCTCCTCCCCCCAGCCCTTGTTTGCTGCAGTTCCTGTCAATCCAGCGTGACTGTTTGGAAAAGCTGAAGTCGAAACTACTCATTCCCTTTCACTTCTCCCACGTCTCACTTTCCTACGAATGTGACACTTTTTCTTTCCCAACTCAGCCACAAAAATAAGGATTTCTCCAGAGAATCATCTTGGGTGTGCTCAGGGCTCCTGCCTCCAGCTCCCTCCTGAGCAGCAAACAGGGAAAAAATGAGGCTTTTTGCCCCAGGAATTACAGCCCAAAGCAAAGTTTCGACAAAACACAGTTGTTGTGTGCAGATATTCTCTCCATTCCCTGACTCCGGCTCTTCCCTGGCTCAGTGTGTTAACACAGAGAGGCTTTGTGGGAACGAGGTGTCTGGAAGCAGGGATATGAGTGAGAGTAGTACACAGCACTCACAAACTTCATTTGATGCCCTCCAGGGCTAATCACCAAAGCCTTGGCCAGGAGAAGGAAAACAGAGACCAAAGAGGAGGAAATAACAGCCCAGTTCAGATAAAGAGCCTGGAATGGAGCAAGGAAGGGAATCCAAGAGTCTTGACACCTCCTCTGGCTTTAATCCCTCTCACACCTCGTTTCTCATCTCTCTGAGGGAGCCTGGTGGGTTTCCAGGCATTTTGTGCCTTTTAATCCTCCTCCCAAACACATTTTGGTGAGAGCTGGTCCCTGTCTCCCACCCCCAGGCAGCTGTTCTGGGATTTGGGATCGCAGTCCTGCCCCGACAATCCATGGCCAAACAAGCTCCAGTGCTCTCTCCTCGTGCCATCCTCACTCCCAGCAGCTTTTGGCAGTCAGTGAGGTTTGGCTGTAGGAGCTGCAGGAGCAGCTGGCACAAACATCCCACGGCAGGAGCCCACGGAACTGCCTCTGCCTCGGCCCTGTGATCAGGAGCTTTCTGCCAGGGAAAAGGCAAGGGAAAACATATATGCTGGAGCAGAGCAGTGGTGAGAATGAAAGCAACCAACACCACCCTTTGCTGTGTAACATCTGACTTTTCCATGTTCTTCAGGCAAAAATGCCCAAAGAGGTGTCACATCCCAATCCCAGATGGAGCAGAGGACAGCAGCCACCAGGAGCACATGAACATCACGTCCTGGCCTTGCCTATGGCACGTGAAGGATGCAGTGCAGCATTTTGTTTTCCAGTTTCCATCCACCCCAGGAAGCTACAGACCCCCAACACCATTTTACCAACACAGCAAAAGCTGAAGAACTGAGGCTAAGAAGTGTGAGGATCAGGATTGCATGGACAACCTGGGATAAACCCAATCACCTGCACTTGTTAAACAGCCCATTAGTGGATATTTCTCCAAGCAATGGAGTTGGAAAGCCATGGGAAGGGATGTGCCCTAACTCTGGCCCTGCCTTTAGCCACGAGGCCACACTGCACCTGAGCAGAGCCTGGATGTGGGGAACAGCAGTTTGGGTGCAAGGGCTGAACGTGCAGAGGTCGCTCACCGGAAGCCGAACATGATCTCGTCGTGGCGCAGGTGAGCGTCGTCGTCGATGGACAGGATCGCCTCCGTCTCGATCTCGTCCCACGGCAGGAAACGGTTGTTCAGGCTGTTCTTCTCCGTGCGGACAACCTGCGTGAGGAACACGACAGTCAGTGTCTGTGTGTGCCTGAGGAACAGACCTGGGCCTTGGGGCTGCACATTCCGGGTGTGCAGCTCCTGCAATAGGGAATGCTTTGCAGCTCCTGCAATAGGGAATGCTTTCCAGCCAAAGAGCACCAGCCCCAGCAATTCCCCTTATCCGCAGCCGTATGTGTGTAAAATCCTATGGAATTTTTCCCCCTTCTTAGAATCATAAGAGGATCACAGAGTACCTTGAGCTGGAAGGGACCCACAAGGACCATCAAGTCCAACTCCAGGCCCTGCACAGGACACCCACCAGTCCCATCCTGTGCCTGAGAGTGTTGTCCAAACACTCCTTGAGCTCTGGGGCCGTGATCACTTCACTGGTGCCCAACGAGCCTGTGGAGGAAAAACCTTTTCCGGATATCCATCCCAAACCTGCCCACACTGGACCCTTCTCCCTTCCTCTTACAGTTTTTGCCTGCCCCACCCGATCCACAGCCACTCAGTTCATCCCAGTTTCCCATCCCATTCACTCCCTCCAGTCATTTCCCTGTCTCTCCTCCAAACAATCTCCATTTAAACATAAAGTCCAGCCTGGTGAAAAGATTAAGGTGTCACAGCAGTAAAACTCCATTGAATAAAATTACATTTTTTCCAGCCACAAAAAAGCCGAAGCTGAAACCATTACCAGTGGGAATATTTGTATTGGGACCTGAGGGACAGCTGGGAACATTAAATTCCCGTGCAAAGCCAGTGTTGGAGCTTTCATCCATCAATAGCTGCTGGGGAGGTGGAACATTTGACAGGAATATGTTAAATATTTCACTGAAGATCCATCAAAAGCACCAAATTAGGCAGTTCTGAGCTATGGTGGAGCAGGGCCAAAGCAGAGCCAGCAACATTCCGACCCTGGAGCGCTGCAGTGCAATTAGTGCCTTAAGGACATAGCAAAAGCAGAGACAATGTTGGCACAGGAATTTCTTCCCACTCTCCCTCCTGAGGTGGAGAAGCATCACAAAAATCAGCTCAGCACTTGGATTTACTTTCGGAGTTATTGTGAGGCAGCAGATGCTTCCAGGGATATCTCCTCTACCTGGGAACTGCTGGCAAAGAGAGGATGCAGGAATGATGGTGGGAATGGGGGGTGAGGAGGGAAGCAAGAAGGAGGCAACACCACACACTGTTCAGCTCTGCAATCCTCAGCACTGGAAGGACATGGACTTGGAGTGATTCCAGAGGAGGTCACAGAGATGCTCCAAGGGCTGGAGCAACTCTGCCATGGATCCAGGCTGGGAGAGCTGGGAGTGTTCAGCCTGGAGAAGAGAAGGCTCAAGAGAGGCCTTAGAGCCCCTTCCAGTGCCTCAAGGGGCTCCAAGGGAGCTGCAGAGGAACTTGGGACAAGGGATGGAGGGACAGGACAAGGGGGAACGGCTTCCCACTGCCAGAGGGCAGGGAGAGATGGGATATTGGGAATAAATTCTTGGCTGTGAGGGTGCTGAGGCACTGGCACAGGTTGCCCAGAGCAGCTGTGGCTGCTCCATCCCTGGAAGCATTTTAGGCCAGGTTGGACAGGGCTTGGAGCAACCTGGGCTGGTGGGAGGGGGTTGGAACTAGATGGTCTTTAAGGTCCCTTCCAACCCAAACCAATCTGTGATTCCCTAAGTCACCTACATTGACCTTCTGCAGGACCCAGGTCACAGGGACCTCACCTCAGACCTGAGCTGTCGCTGGTAGAAGCATCTCTGCCAGAAAAGCATCCTGTCTCCACTTGATGACATCAACAGTGGGAACACTTTCCTCTGAGATGTTCCCTCTCAAACCTCAACGTTGCTCCTTGTGAACTATGTGCCTTCAGCTCCCAGCTGCTGTCCTTGGGTCTGACCTGCTCCAGAACAGCCCACAAGAGCCATAACCTACCCTCTCTCTGTCCTTTATCGTACACTGAGGGCTCAATCTCTCACCCAGAGCTGTTTCTCCTGTTCTTTCTCAACAATCTTGGGCCAAGAGCTCTGTCAGAACCCAACGAAAGTTGTTCCCTCAGCAAAGCTGAAACACTGTGCTCCAGCAAAATGAAAGTCAGCAGTTACCCTTATCCAAGGGGATTAAAATAATGAAGAGGACATGAAATCAGTCAGTGAACTACAAGAGAGACCCCAGCACATCTATCGAAAAGACACTTTCCCTTACAGCAAATCTTAAGGCTCTAAACACCGACCAAGCATCAGTCTAAGACCTGTACACAAATTCCCACCCCTCCAGACTCAAACTTGTCCATGATTTTGTACTTTTGCCTGTCTTATTTTGATTATTTTGGGTTTTTCCTTGGGAATAATTTTCTTTACAACACTTTGCCATCAGCTAAATGCCTCCCCAGCTCAAAATCATGAACCTCCTGAGCAGTCTGAAAACTTCTGAGCAAACTCAAGGTGATCTAGTTCCACACCATGGGATTTTTTTGACTAAAGGAGCCCAAACCACACCACTATGAGGTCCATTTGCTCCTGGTGTTTGTTGTTCACAGACGCACTGGACAAATGGATCTTTAAAATGTTAGAGAGAACAAAATCAGAGCATAAATCCAGAGTCTGCCCAGCCATAATGTCCTTAACCAATACTTTATAGTGTGTTTTTATTCATAAATATAAAAAATGCAGCAAAATCAATACCTCCCAGCAATCTCCTTGCTAGTGAGGCTTCATGCTTGAGTTTTAAATTAAGTGTCACATATAATTTGAGGGTGAAAATGTGAAGGATGCCTGTGCCCTTGGAGAAGCTTTGGCAGCTCAGCTTAGTGAACTGGATTGATTCCTGGGCAAAGAGCAAACTCTGCAAGAAACCAGGAGCCTCGTTGCTCACATCAGGTCTCTGTGAGAACAAAAGCCAGAAGGATGCCCTTAGGAGAGCTGGATAACTTGGGGAGACGAGGAGGAAGATCTCAGGTAAAGGATCCATTTCCATCATTCCCAAAGATGTGCTAATTCAACCCAAACGAGATGGGGGAAGTTTTTTCCTGTGAGGGTGGTGAGGCATTGGCACAGGTTGCCCAGGGAGGTTGTGGCTGCCCCAACCTGTCAGTGTTCATTCCAGGTTGGATAAAACCTGGAGCAACCTGGTCTGGTGGGAGGTGTCCCTGCCCAGGGCAGGGGGTTGAGACTAGATGATCTATAAGGTCCATTCTAACCCCTTACCTTAGCATACAACTATGAAAACAGCAGAGTGGGGATGAGGACACCACGAGCTCCTTTTCACCATGCAGCTGGGAATTACAGGGCTGAAGACACAGTAGCCAAATGCATTTGCCTCTTCCTCCTGAAGAGCTGACCTCGATCTAGACTTGGAAGGGAAAAGCTGAGAGCTCCTGCCAGCACAGTCCTCCAGGGAGGACACGGATTTACAGTGCTGTCAATCCCAGCAGAGTGGGGATGAGGACACCACGAGCTCCTTTTCACCATGCAGCTGGGAATTACAGGGCTGAAGACACAGTAGCCAAATGCATTTGCCTCTTCCTCCTGAAGAGCTGACCTCGATCTAGACTTGGAAGGGAAAAGCTGAGAGCTCCTGCCAGCACAGTCCTCCAGGGAGGACACGGATTTACAGTGCTGTCAATCCCTTTTCTTGGCACCAACTTGGAAGGTTTTATTAATAAGACTCAGTGAAGCAAGTCTCCTGCTTCGCGGGGGAGAGCTCAAGCCAGAGGCTCCCGGGCTGTGTCCTTTTCCTTGCTGCTGTCCCCAGGACTGATCCACTGGGCTGGAGCAAAGCCCTCGGCAAAACTCAGCTCAGCACTGACCTCAGGGGTGGGATCTGCCCAGGACCTCACCTGGGGCAAAGCTCCCAACCAGGACCTTCACTGACAAATCAGAGAATCACAGAAAGTTAAGGGCTTGGAACAGACCTTAGAGATCATCTAGTCCCAACTCCTGCCCTGGGCACGACTCCTCCCACCAGAGCAGGTTGCTCAAGGCTTAATCCAATCTGTCTTTGAACACTGCCAGGGTTGGGGCAGTCACAGCCTCCCTGGGCAACCTGTGCCAGTGTCTGACCACCCTCACAGGAAAAAATAGATAAGCATTCAGATCCTCTCCATTAAGAAGAGTGGTAACACATCTCCTAGATCATGGGTGACCCATCTGAGCACTTGGGACTTGGCTCCAGAGGTGCATTTGTCATCATCATCATCCCCACCCATCAAGGAAGGCATGATTTGTATACTTGGGAGCTGATGATCTTCACCCCACCCACACCCTCAATCCAAGCTGAGCAGGCTGCTTCCCATCCACCTTTCTTTGTGCAGAAAGCTAATGGGAAGTCAAGGCTTCTCCAGCTCTCCCATGAGCACATGTGGCTGCTAAAGTGGAAAAGAAATCTATTAAAAATCAGCCAAACTAGGCTTAATAGAGGTCAGGGAGTGCTCTGTTAGAGGACCTTGGGAGATGGTGAATTCCAGCAGGTGGGAACAACAAGCAGATACCAAGGATCCCTGAAACTAATCAGATATTTCTTTTCAACTCCTAGTTTGGACAAATTCAGACATCTTTTGAGTAAGAAAGTTGCTCAGATCAGCCCTTACACCAGATCCCTTCCCTCTACACATCAGACACAAGTGCTGGGATTATTTACATGACTCTTTGGAAGGAGTGAAGTATGTGCAGATTCATGTATCTGTAAGCAGGATAAATCACATCCTTTATTACCATGGCTGACTCCATTCCCCACTCCCTCTGCAGTGAAGGTGTTAGATCAGACTGGCACTTTCTTCTCTGCCAATGTGACCAGAGATGTGGACAAGGAAGACAGGTCTGTCTGGTCCCACTGAACAGTATCCTCCTGGAAGCTGTGTGTTTTTCGGGAGCACAGCTGTCAGAATGGGTTTGCACTGATGCACTGGAAATGAAGCAACAAGTTTGGGATGTCAGAAGGAGACAAAAAACTGTCTCTGGCTGGACATCAGGAAGAATTTCTTCATGGAAAGGGCTGTCAGGCACTGGACTGTGCTGCCCAAGGAT